GGAACCCCCTAGGGGTCTCCGTCACGTGATCCGATGGATCGATAGCTAACCATATAGCCTGGGGCAGACATCTTGGTTTTGCAATCACTAGGTGCTAGAACACGGCCGGGTAATTGTTCCATTTGCCATTTTCAATACCGTGTGGTTATTGTTTCCAAGAATCGTTCCGTCTTTCAAAATACTATCAATAATCTACAAATGTCTGCTTTGACTGTTGATAACGACATTTTTACCTTTCAAGAAATTTAAGTTTAACATTATTCTATAAAAAGGAGATAAGCTAGTATTTCGTTATGCATGAATGCTTGAATTAAATAATAATAATAAGTTCTATAATTTTATACAGAACCATGCCTTTTATGCAAGATTTATATAAAAGTTCTTTTACACAAACTCTCTTATTCGAATTTCCCTTCGAACATTACAAATATTTACTGCAATCGTCTAATAAGCCTACAAATTAAAATAAACAAAATAATTTATATAGATTTAATTTTTCTAGAAAGTCTTGTAATGACTTGACTAATTTTTTATTTAGCTATGCATTTGATATGATTTAATAAAAATATAAATCATTTCGCCAGAATTTTCTCCATTTACAAAAGAAAAACAAATTGCCAAAAAAATTTAACAAACACATATTAATAAAGTTACAATATTTTATTTCGAGTCGATTAATTTTAAATAGCTTCGGTAGTAGGACAAGAGATTACGTATCGATTATTCTGTGGCCCCGTACTATATTCGAGTCTAGCTTATAAAAGTATTAAAATTCGCTAAAGAATATGCTAATTTAAGGCATAATTATAAAGCGAACGGTGGCAAAAGTATCGTTCCTGTTCCAATATAAAGCAGTAACGTAAGAAAGGAGCAATGGGAAAATCGCCTTAGGATTACGTCCACTCAGTCTAAGTAGTGGAAAAGAACCATTAACTAGGCACAATTATCCCACATAAACCGCGACTATACTAACAGTGAAATATCGCTACTTTTTCGTAGAATTTTATAAATTAAGCTATTAGAAGCTAGAGAACCCGTACTACTCTGTTCGGCGGTAGCGTGCTGAACCGGCGATATCTATCACAATTATTTCGGCAAAGAAAGCAGCCATCATGAAAAATAAATAATTAAAACTTCAAACGGGCCCTTAATCACCTGTTTGGAAATGCGTCGGTAGACATCTGCGATAATTTCTCAAAGAAGATAAACTTCTTCTGAATGGAATCTACCGAGCCCAGGCGTGAGTCGAGCCAGCAGGTGTATGACTTCGTGGACGATGCGGCGATCTTTGCGTGACTCCAACCCCATTGGAGCATCGTCATACGGAAATGCTATCTTTCGCAACGTCCATAGTTTCTCCCCCCTTTTGTTTGGGACAGTGAAAGGTCGAGCGTGTGCGCGCAACAGGTGAAGCAGCAATTCTTCGTGAGTGTCCCTTCGCCGGTACCGTTCCAGAATAGATAGCCTCGGAAGAGCCACTCGTTTACAAAAGACACCGCCAGCTGCAACTCTTCCATCTTCTCGCGCGCATTCATTTTATATAATATAATAAATACGCTTTCCTTCTTGCCTTTTGTCTTTCGTAATTTCCTCCCTTCTCCACCTAATGCTCCCACAAAATTCCATTTTTATTAAATATGGACGGACATTGCCTACATTATTATTATTTTATTCGTGAAAATCAAATGCGAAATAACGCAAAAATTAGAGTAAAAAAATCATAAAACAAATTAATTTTCTCAATAATAAAAATTTCTTAGTGGAATTTTGAATTGGAAAAAAAAATTTATATCTTAAAAAAATTTTTTTTAATGAGAAAATATTCTTTAAACCCAATAAAACTTTTGTACAGAAATCTAAATTAATTAACCCGTGTTTTTAGACAGACATCAATTTATTCCATTATAAACCTTAATGTAAAATCTTTATTTTTACAATGAAAAAAGATTATGCAATAATGTTGTAATGAAGGTTTTTCATTTAATTAATGATTCTATCGTTCTTTGTATTATCTCTTTTCATTATTGTAGGAAGCCAAAAGTATCTAAAGATATAAATGCCTAACTACTTTTGTTCATTTATAGAATCATACTTGTGTAATAGAAATTGATCAAACAGGCTATTATTACGCAGGCGGGTCAATGAAGCAGTTTTAAAAATATTAGAATATACGCAAAAATAATGGATGGAAGTAAACTTTCTATTAACAACTTTCTATCCGTAAAGTAAAAATGTAAAAATTATAAACAGATTTAAAATTTTTTTAAAATTTAAATTTTAAATAAATTTAGAAAATAAATTCAAAAACTTTTATTCCTTTCACCAGTGAAGTTAAGAAAAAAGAAACTAATGGCATTTATGAAAATATTTAGAGATTTTATTCGGTAGGAATGCCATTCAAAATTCTAATGACCGTGAAATCGATCTAATTGGCGAGTCGTACTCTGCTCAAACCGAATATTTAACGGGTTCTGGCTATTGTACGGTGAATTCAGTCCAATAAACTGCCGAAAAACTAAAGAAATTGCAATAGGAATGTTACGCAATATGACTAAAAATTCACTTTTCTCTCTACTTGAAGTTACAAATAAGAGTAAAGTATTTTTGAGTAACTCTCCTCCCCTTGAGATTTATCATATAAATAATCGGTCATTTGTTTTCATATACCCATTTTAAAGAGTCAATTAAAAGTAATTTTAATTATCTCGTATAGATGGATATTATAAATTGACAGTCTCATAAAGTATACAAGAGGTAAAAAGCCTTAAATGTGCTTTTAACAATCTACCTGTAATTTTAATTGAGGAAATATATCCGTTATTAAGATATTATAGAAAATATTTTGCATATTTTTGAAAGGTATCGACCTCTTAAAACGTAAATCTAGAATGAAAATACCCCCGATACTCGCCATTATTTTTCGAAACGACGTTGGAGGAAGTACCGTAGTACTTACGCGATTACTGCACATATGAAAGAGTTTATTGTTAAACTCGTCAACTCCGAAGGCTTTTAAGCTCGTCCAACCGGCAATTAATAATTAAAATCGATTTAAAAAGCAGTTTTTAAAAGCCAAAGCTTAACGTATACATCGATTTGCACCATCGTAAAATCGAGAAAAAATCAAATATGATTTTTACGATAATTTTAAATCGCGGCATTATACAGAGGGGATAGTGATAATGTCGAGTATAACCTTACATCAATAAGCGGAGCCGACTTTTAACATTATTGGCTGGAAGACTCGATAATAATAATAATAAGAAAAAAATAAAAAAATAACGCAGCCGAGCAGGTTTATGTGATAGCTTTATGACCCAAAGAGTAGAATTAAATTTTATAGTCCAAGATACTTTTTAATGCACAAATTTGACCTCATATAACACAATGGATAATTACTGAGTCATCAACCAAGATTCGTTTCTCCCCAGATAAAGTACGGTTTCGTATCTTAAAGAATTTCATCGCGATTATGATGACTAAAGCCGAATTTTGATAATTTCCTTCATTGTTCTTTTGAATATCTTAAATTAAAAAGAGATAATAAAGAATAATCTTCATCTATTCATTACATAATGAAATATTATATAGGCAAATTAATGAATAGGCCGTAAGTATATCCTACAGTTTTTTTCATCGCACGAGGGCCATATTTTTGACTAATTTGAAGAAACATCTCTGACTTTCTGTAACTTTGCCAGCATCTTTCGAAGAAAAAAGAAAATAAATTATCTAAAAGTTCGAAAGGTGACTATCATTAGCAACAAAAGACTTTTATAGTAAACATTAGAAGGTAAAATTGGAAAAGGAAAGATTTCTTAGTTGTTCCGCATAATGTAAGACCTCATATTCATTACTCTATTTGAAAATTTTATATACATTATTAAGTTTAAAAGCAAATATATAGTAATATATAATATTTGATTTAGTGTACGAGTTGAGAATATTTACTTTTAAGAGGTTTACAATTTTCCGCCAGTCGATGTCGGCGTAGCAGAAAATAGCTGTTTTCGCTATCATTTCTTTAAATGACGTCAAACAGAACTTCACCCAGCCGTTTCGAGATGTGGCCAGTCGTTCTGCTTCGGTTAGTTCGACAAGAATTACGCAGAAAGTACCTAATGGTGACAGAATTGATTTAGTTTTTCTAACAGGAACAACTTTCCAGACGAATGAAAAACTCATATATTTACTTTAAATTTTATTATAAGTATTTTGAATTGTATCTAACTGGACTAATGACATTATAATTCTATATTCAGTGCTGATTTTATTAATTTTTTTAGGGACATAAATCCTACAAACGAAGTCATAGTAGTAAAAAGCATCGATAGAACAAATACATTAAGGAGTCTTAAAGGAATACTCCTTTGATATAATGAGGAGTCTTAAAGGAATACTCCTTTAAGACTCCTCATTATATCAAAGGATGAGTTAAGTTCCTTGTTACATTGATCAAATGCTAAATTTGTTATATATTTTCTTAGATTAACGAATGTAGATAAATAAATATCAACATTAATAATGCATTTTTCTTGTATAGAACGTAACAATTGCACTTTTATATAATGTGCTTTAAATTATGATTAGTTAAATATTGATCCAAATATTATCTTCGTCAAGAATCATCGGCAATGTTTATGCAGAAATTTCTTTTGTAAATAGATTTTAAAATTTTATATTCATATAAAAATATATTTTAGAAAGAGAAGGGGAAACAAAATGTCTTCTCTGCTTCTTTCTGAATATGCTTTTGGGGCAGCAAACATTTTACTTTCTGGAAATAAATTTGCAGCACCGACTAAATCCCATATTAGATAATTTGTAATATTAGAGTACACAATATTTAAATAAATATTAATGAACATTTAAATTTAGGCTTATATATCTTGCGTTTAAATTTGCAAACATTCGGATGCAAAACTATATGAAAATCCTTTAAAAAATCGGAAACTTATCCCTCGGCAATTTAGATAAGAACACTTTTTTTCTCCTTGCAGTTTCGATGCCAATAAATCAACGAAAGGTGCCTCCAAGTTACGACGTGATCTAATCAATGCCGAGATTGCCAACTTAAGGGATTTGTTGCCTTTACCCTCATCTACCAGGCAGCGTTTGTCTCAGTTGCAATTAATGGCGCTGGTCTGCGTATATGTGAGGAAAGCCAACTATTTCCAACATGGTAAGTCTTTTGTAAGAATTAGTTAAAACTTCTACCTTCTTAGTTTCTTAAGTATAAAGATTTATACGCGTGAAAGATGGAGAAGATAAATATTCTCCAGTTTAACTTTTACACAGAAAATGTTACTCTATGGGAAAGCTAGTTGGTCGTGTTCGGTAGAAGCCGAGTACCTCCCGTAGATGATGCCCCAAGGTATACAGAGATGCTATCTCTAACGTTTACCCCGAGGGTGTCACAAATTCGCGAGGCACTTCGGGAATAACAAAGGTGACGCGCATGTTCATCCCACTAACATCAAACAAAAAAAAAAGGCGGACAAAGATATCAGGAGGCCCGACGGTACATCATGCGGTGATATACACCGTGGAAAAAATCGTATCGTTTACAATCGGTGGTCGAGCAGTCGAATCAACCGCCAAATCTTTTAATGTTTGATGAGGGGGAGGACGAAATATTTTGTTAAATTGGCCGTCTTTAATTCTCTGGAGTTTTCTACGACGACGTCGTGTCCGTGGGGGAGAGATTCTCACGCCACCACTTCCGTACACGGAAGTTCTAGATAGATCTAATTCAACCGGCTGCTTTTTTCGAATTCCTTCTCCTATCAAGTTTTCTATCGTTAGGAAACCTTCGCCTCCTCGTATATCAAGACTTCCTTTCCGAAACGATAGATATCTGCTTTATATTCAAATCCAGTAACATCGGTTGAATAATAATTCAATCAAGAAAACAACAGCCGGGGAAGAATTTTTTCCGACGAGATTCGATACCGGTAATAAGGCGAATGCGAATCAAGGGTCAATTGCCATTCCACCCACATAAACCGGGGTCTTAACTCGATTATTCGTAGCTTCGGTAATGAACAGAGCCAAAAAGACTTCAATATATCAAGATGCAAAATTACAATGCCGCGCTTATGGCCCGGAGCCTACTTCTTAATTGTGCTACGTGTATATAATCTTAGTTCCTTCCTGCATGTGTCAGTAGCCCAGATGCAACACGCAACTCATATACCACACGCCCTTGTAGCACTAGCTAAGAAATATAAGGGAGGATATGCGGGGCGTAGGTGACGCTACTCTTCCCAGAGGGTGTAGCAGCCCAGACGTGATCCGGTATACCAATCTCTGCTAGCTTTGACATTTGGACAGCTAAGGGTTGTCGAATGTCCTCGAAGCACGCGATGCAAACGAGGATATCGGCAATGATACAAGTATAAGGTCACGGGAGGTCAAACCGGAAAACTTGGCCATGATTAGCTGTTCTTCCTTGGGATAATGTTTGCCTCGGGCGCTTCGACTGCGTTTCGTTTTTGACAATGAAGAAGAGTTACTCTCGCACTGATTACGAAATACAGAATCGGGAGTTTCTGATCTTTTACCGTTTAGTATAAATATACCAACACTTTTTTATAAAACAGTATTTTTGAATTAGAAGTCCATGATAACGCAATTAGTGTAAATCATCACCAGCAACCGAACACATCGCCGGTTTCGTCAATCGGAACAATTATTTTTGCTTAATAATCAAGAAATATAAACGCAATTATAATTAGCATTACAATTAACATAAAACTCGTAAGTAACTTCATCCGAAACGGCTCATTTGGGTTAATTTATCAGAATTGACATTTACATTTTTGCTAAAAGAATTGCTATGCAGAAAAAAATGACGCGTGTTTTTATTTTCCATCTGTCTAGACATGCAGAAAAATAGAAAGTGGATAATTCAAACAAAATTCGACAAGCTATTAAGAAGTTTTTCTTGGAATTTTTTATGTATTTTCTCCACTTTTCTATTACGCTAAAAAGACGAAAGAAGAAGGGGAGGAAAAAAATCATCAATGACAATCGTTTATCTTCTCAAGATCCTAAAATGAGTTTTTACAGAAGTTAATGAAGGTACATTCTTTTTGCAAATTGCATTCGTAATGAATATGAACTGTAGAAACACTCAGCTCTTATGTAATTCTCTTACGAGTATAGAACGTATTGTACTTTTTTATTGCAATATTTTACCATCCTTGGCTAAATCTGCGGGCGATAACATTGAAAGACGAAACTTTTTGTCAGCTGCCCGGTTTTGCTAGTGTATTCCTGACCGGAATGTTTTTTGCTTACGGATTCCAAGATGATGCTCCATTTTCGAGAAGATCGTCAACGTGGGAAGCGCATCAATTCTTTTGTGAACGGTAGTCACGCGACAAACAAACCGAGTGAACGACCGTCGGCTGACCACAAATTCACTAAAGTTGCGCCTAGTTAGGCCAGGCCATCAGCTTTTACTGAACGTTGATCTATCGAACCTACGGTTGGGCGGCGAAGCGGAGCCCATTTGCAGCTACGGCCACTTAGCATTTTGCATGACTTAGATTTGTTCTTGGCGCAATTAAGATGTAATTTTACCAATCACGCTGGAAAACAATGTTCTGCAAACATTTCCGGGAAGAAATCCACCGATTAATTGAGCCCATTGATATAATTTATAAAAAGAAGAGGAAGTTCATTTTCGGGCTTGTGCATGTTACTTATTAAGGCTCTACGCGCCCATCCGAAACACGGGATATTCCGTAGATCTATCATTAGACTTTTCTTTTTATTTAAAACCTGTATAAAATATTGCCAGACTCTTATCGTTCGGAACTGGCGTTTAGACAAAAGCGACAAAAAGAACACAGGGATAAGTCGAAAGAAAAAACCATAGTATTGTGTCTCCCCCGCCAACCATTTACCTAACGATGACGAATGCCTTTCTGTCCCAATGCTTTCACGCAAATCCCCCATTGTCTCCGATTCGAATAATTAGTGAGGACCGACCGACTATTAGACCAACGACGCCATTTAAAATGTCGTCGCCGCGTAAGTTATCCACATTCGATGGCCATCGATGTTGGCTCCATATTTGCCCGGGGGCAACGATTAATGCTGTTTACACATCGAGTCGTGATAATGACGTTCGACTTCCGAAGAAACAGGAAAAGATTTCCATTAGGGGAGGAAAGATCAAATTACTAAATTTATACAATTTATCATCTTGAACTCGCTCGACTTAGCCCACATTTGCGTGATTTTCTGTCCCGATTCTTTCCGAGAAAAACAGGTTAAGGGATCATTCCGTCCCGTCCGTTTCCACCATCGAGTTTGTCGACCAACAAGCCATTCTTTTTATTATTTATATACCTCTATATTTACATACGGGATGAAGTTCAAAATGTCAAAAATCTCTGCCGATCTGAACATCAAACCTGTTAAAACGGCCATTCGAGTTCCGACTCCAAATGGATCTTGTACAAATCTCGTATATGTAATTTTTAAAAAAGAGTGAAGACAAAATGTAATTAATTATAATTAATTAATTATTTCTTGCCTCCTTTCTGGCAGATAAATCTTACAGGAAAAGTTTTCCGACAAAAAAGATCAGACTGACTGGATGCAATGTTCGAAGATTAAAGAATGAGAAAAATATTGGGAAGCCTTCATGCTGATTATTGGATGTTAAGCAGTAAAAAAGTAGGAAGAAAATTTCCTACTCGTTTGATCAAAGAAAGTAAATATTCAAATTAAAACAGTATTTGTTTGCACAAGAGAGAACTTCTGTCATTTCGATCGTATTAATACCAGTGGAAAACAAGCAGTTTACGAGATGGCCTCAATTATGGCCATTGTGGGCGAGCCCTATCGGAAATAGGGTCGACTAACGTAGACGAGGATGGGAAGAAGACCCGACCCGAACTTCTCGTGAGAAAATTACGACGATTCGAATCGAATTTGAATCCGAATCCTTATCGTGCAACGTGGGGATTCATTCGGGATCAGATTCTGCATAACTTATATACAACTTAAATAATTTTTCGTAAGCCGGAAGTTTAATAAACGAAGAGGCCGTTTGTTTATGCAACTTATATTCGTATTCACTAAAACTATTTATGAGGTACTCACATGTCTAATGAACTAGTCGATTCGAGAACCCAAACACATGTCAGACTATTAATTGTTATTTCTATCAAACGTAATGGCTTGTTTCTTCTTGTCTGGGAGTGTTTATTTCCTTTTCTGAGTTATAACGAAGATTAACGCTTTAATTATTAATATATTTTTCGGATAAGATTTGAACGCGTGGCGTATTAGAATAACGAGTAAGTTAGAAAATAAACTGTAGATTGAAGTGTGGATAATTATTAAATATTAATCTGCAATTCGAACCCGTAATATTAATTCCAATTGAGACTTATCTTCTTGGTAATTATCTTAAAATAAAGTAGGATTCTACCAAGCAATGCCGACTTGTTCCAGTACTCGACCGAAATTAAGTGCACATGCTGACATTCCTACGCGACTTTGGGCCTCTTGTAAATTCCGGCGCATACGATGAGCCTTAACCCTTTGACGTGTATACTGCACCCGAAAATCCGACGCTATTCGGCGTACTTGGCTTCCGAGCCGTACCGAAACCACGTGTTCGACCAACCTTAAACTCCGACCCAGGTTGGGCATTAAATAGAATGCTAATCAATTTAACCGTCGATTGGACGGGAAGAGTCCAGGAAGCGGGAGGTGAGGTTTATCTGCGCCGGCTAGTTGTGTATTCAAAGGTAGCAAGAGTGTGATTAGTGGAGATACCCGACTTATCCCTTTGGGTTTGACTGTTATAAATAATCTCGAGATATAGATAATGACGGGATTTTCCCCGACTTTTATGGTTGACGCCAAAGAGGTCTCGGATGAACGCCATTTCTAGGGGTCAACGGTTGTAATTCAGTATAGGTTCGTTAGGATTCTGCAGACGTCTGCGATTAGCTTCCAGACATGTGTGGCTCATACAGGAAGCGTCAACTAATGAATTACGAGCGATTAACTAAAACAAGAAACAATTGTCGGCAGATTAAAAAAACAAATCTCTTCATGCCACTGACGATTACTAAACTGCTGCTTATACATAATTATCGTATTTCGTATTAAATATTCGAAACGACTTTTTCGTATTCGGCAAATTCTATAATT